AAAAAAAAAAAATGGGCAAAGGCTCTAACTAGACATTTCTCCAAAGATTATTTATAGATAGGTAAAAAATACAATAAAAAGTGCTTAATTCCATTAGTTATCAGGGAAATGCAAATGAAGACCCCAGTGAGGCAGCACCTCCACCCACTAGGGTGGCTTTATCAAAAAGGTGGATGGGTGGCACAGTGGCTTATGCCTGTGGTCCCAGTGCTTTGAGAATATTGCCTGAGGTCAGGAGTTCAAGACTAGTTTGAGCAACAGTGAGACCCCACCTCTACCAAAAACAGAAAAATTAGCGAGGGTGGTGGTGCCTGTAGTCCTAGCTCCTCAGGAGGCTGAGTCAGGAGGATCACTTTAGCCCAGGAGTTTAAGGCTTCTATGAGCTGTGATGACGCCATGACTTTCTAGCCAGGAGACAGAGTGAGACAGACAATAACAAGTGTTGGCAAGGACATGGGAAACTAGAGGCCTCACACACTCCTGGTGAGAACGTAGAATGCGGCAGATGCTTTGAAAACAGTCGGGCAGTTTCTCAATATTTGTTTTCCAACCTGAGTTACCAGTGACACAACAATTCCAGCCCTAGGCATATACCCAGCAGAGCTGAAAACACACAGCCACATGAAAGTTTGCACATGGAGCTCACAGCAGCGTCATTCATAACAGCCGAGAAGCAGAAACAGCCCAAACATCCGCTAACCTGTGAATAAACAATACGTGTCTGTAAAGTGGACTGCTATTTGATCATAACAAGGGCTGAGGCCGGCACAGGCCACCACATAGATGGAGCACAAAAGGCCTCATGCCATGTGATCCCGATTACACGGGATGTCCAGAGCAGGCAGAGTCAGAGGGACAGAGGATGAGTGGCTGCTAGGAGCTGGTGAGATGGGGGTAGGGAGGGACGACATAACACAGAGGTATTTTAGGGGGTGAAAATGCTCCAAAATTAGCCTGGTGAAGGTTGCCAACAGAGCTAGGACCATTAACCTGCACACTTTCTTTCTTTTTTTTTTTTTTCTTGAGACAGAGCCTGAAGCTGTCCCCCTGGGTAGAGTACTATGGCATCATAGCTCACAGCAACCTCCAACTCTTGGGCTCAAGCGAGTCTCCTGCCTCAGTCTCCCAAGTAGCTGGGACTACAGGCGCCTGCCACAACGCCCGGC